AAATGACGCAAATGAGGGGATCGCGAGAACGGTATTGGGCCGCTTTGGAGACGCCTGAAGCTTGATTGAATCTATACTCTATTCAAAAACAATTCTCAAATTTGCCCAAGCTGCCCCGTCGATATTATACTAGGGTTTCCATATGCCTCCGAGGAGTTCGTGATCCTCTACGAACATGACGCGGGGAGTTTCTTTCAAACATCCCTGCAACTCGGATGAATGTCACATTCCCTGACAAATTAACCCTGCAGGTTGTTCTCGCGAGTCGTATGTAACGTACATAATCGTTATCTCTCTTCGGCGGCTTTCCCGCCCGCTGACCGCTTAATTAGTTCAAGCCCTGTTATTTCCGGGGATCGACGTTGAGTAAGCGGGTTCGCCGTGGAGGCCCTTGACTGACGTGAGCCGCTCCAACTTCACTCCGAAAGCAATCTTTACAGCTCATGGATGTAAGAGGGTTCTCAACAACGGAAGAGGTTCGGGCAATCAGAAGTCCGGCAGTCTGTAATGTTGCGATATAGTTGTGTGACGCCACCGGTGATTCTTTCAACTGTTTGCTCCAGGGCCCGTTCCATTCCCAAGAGCGTGGGTTTGAAATGCCACTCCGTAGCTTCTTTGGCAATACATCAGTCTTACACACCGAGAGGAGTGGCCATCATTCCAATAACAGCAACCAGCAGAATCAATCCCATTGCAAGACTAAACGTTCCACGATCCCCGGAAGAATATTTCACAGTGGCGTTGAGACCGCTGGCGAATATTCCCGCTGCGCCCCATGCCGTGAGAACGCGACCGTACTCTTGAGGAAAGTTCGCTGGCTCAGCCAATCGAGATTTGATCAAACCAGGAAGGATGCTGAAGCCCGCCCCATGGACGAAGAGGATTGCGCAGAGTGTGACGAGGGCCAAGACTTGGTTCGACGTTTGCCACAGAGCGACCAACAGCATGGCCCGGATGGAGAAAAAGACGATGAAGGTGCGTTTAGTTCCAAGGATGGAGTTGAGGGGGGTCGCGAGGAGCCCTCCGCTGGCGAGTGCGGCCATCGTGTAAGGCAGGTAATTCCCTGAAATGTCGTGATCTGTCGGCCTGTAGTGTGAGACTCCCGGAAGGAGAACAGAGAATGCCATCATTCCAGGCAAGGCGTTGAAGAAGAGCAACATCCAGAAGGTGCCCTTCACAAAGCCCTCGGGTTTCTTCTCGAGTGGCGTGGATGTTGTTTGCGGTTGTCCATTGATCGTATCGCTGGGCAACAACAGCTGTGTCGCTACCCCAACGGCCATGAATGTCACTCCCCCGATCTTGAGAAAGCCGCCGATATCCTCTGCGCCTCGCGAGTCGAAGCTGACAAACGAATAGAAGGCGAAGCTGGCAGCCGCGCCCGAAGAGAAGCCCAAAGGTCCTATGACGCTTCTTGCCAGTGGATGATTCGGGAATGCTTGGCCAACCATGATGATAACGGCGAGGTATGTCCATCCAACGCCGATTCCGCCGATAAACAGCCCGGCGAGGAGGCCTATAAAGTTGGAAGAAGCCAAGAAATGACCCGTGGAAAGCACAGCGAGACCCCAAAGTGCTGTGCCTCTCGCCGCAGCAGAACGGGCACCATTCTTTGAGATTGAGGTGGCGGCCGTCGCAACTCCGATTGCAAGGCCGGCACTGACTGCACCAAAGGGGGCGAAAGACCACTCGCGAGAGACTTTCAGAAGTATAGGTAGCTCGAACTGCACGATACTGAGGGCGTAGGCGGTGCCGATGCTGAACATGTTGGCGTAGCCCGCCAGAGCAACTTGTGACGCTACCGACATACTGATATCGGGCAAGTGAAGGCAATGAAGTATACAAGGTGCAGGTTCAAGAGAGGAGTCTGCATGACAATGCCCTCTTCCATCTAGACGGGACACCTCGGGTCAAAATAGATGTCGTTGATCTTCAGCGGGGAAGGTTACCCACCGTTCCGCCTTTGAACTGACATGCACGCCCTTTTGACGCTGGGAGTGGGACGAACGCTTTCACAAAAGTCAGCGGAACATAGCCGCCCTTCCGCTGGCAGCCTTTTTGCCAATTTCCGGAATGCACTATACGCTGAATGTCGAATCCTTGAGTTGCATCGTTGTTCAAGATCAACTTCGCGACCCTAAAAGTTGCGATGGTGTGGGATGCGGGCTGTGGATGAGAAAAGAGCTCGAAAATAACAAAGCCCAACAAGTTGAGAATACGGTCGGAATGAATTGGTCATGACTATACATACATTAATTACTTACGACCCGTCGTCGCGACTCTGAATGAGACCACGTCAGCTCAGAAGCACTGAAAAATGTGCTGGAAACTGACCATCGCTCTAAAACAATATAAGTTGGGATGAAAATAAAGTACGGGAAGCACACAAGGTAGTCATGAAGAAGGTTGCGCAGCTACGCAAATGCTACAAACAACTTCACATATCCCATGCGCGCTCCACCATTAGCAATGTGTCATGAGTGACATGTATGGAAAGCCTCTTGCGTAAGAGGCATGTGAGTAAGATGGACCAATTACCTTTTGTCCTCTCGGTTGACTTAAAGGAGACAGTGGATTCTTCCTACTTGCTACTCTCATTCACCATCATACTGGCATCTTCAAGTTTCATCATGTATAAAAATCTCCCCTCATCGTTCGACGAAGGAGCTCAGCAGTTTTATCTCACACACATTTATCTTTATGCGTGGCCTCGTGTCCACGATTAGCACACGAATCTGAACTTTGCCTTCTCCCAACCCTCCCTCCTCACGATTCTCACTCCAAAACCCTCTCCATTTCTCACCGGCTTGGGCGTGCCATCTGCAAGCGTACACGCCATTGCCTCCGGAACCTGCAACTCGCCAACGTTGCGATTCAGAGGTTTCACCTCAAATCCAAGCAACAACGTCGACACAAACCCCAGATTCTCCGCAAAAGCAAAGTTCCGCCTAGGACACAAGTGCCGGCCCCCTCCGAAGGGAATATACGCCGCTCTCTTCATCTTCTCGTCCCCAACCTCTTTCCTACCCCCATTCTCGACCGCTAGAAACCTGCCAGGAACAAATAACGCCGGAGCCTCTCCCCAGACATGGTCCATATTGTGCAGAACTTCAGCGGAGAGTTGTAGATTAACCCCGCTCTTCAACATGTAAGACCTGCCCTTCCCGTCGGAAATAGTCGTATCCTTCGTAACTCTCCGATTCCCAATAACCCTGCTCGAGAGCCGCATGCTCTCGCGGTAACAGCTCACAAGCAAGGGACACTCTTTCTCAAAAATTGTGATGTCGATGATGGCCTCGTTCTCTTTCCGCTGCGAGGCCTCCAGAACTTCCTCACGCAGTCTCTCGACTAGCTCCGACCGCGTGAAGACATGCGCCGGAAACCAGAAAAACACCGGGATAGTGTTGGCTGTCCCAACATGCAGCAGCCCCAGCTCGAACGTTCCGATCTCGCGGTCCGGGATGCCGTACCTCCGCAGGACGTCCGCTCTGGCCTTGACAATCTGCGCCACGTCGTCGTTGTGGTCGTGTCTGGCCATGTAGAACCTCGACAGGCCCGCTTGAAGACGTGCGCGGGCTTGGAAGGCCTTGCGGGCTGTGTACTGCGGGAGGATGCCGAGGATGAACATGGGCACGCCGCTTTCAAACGTCCTACGACCATGTCAGCAACACACATTCTTCCCTCCTCTCTCTGTCTTGAGAATACGCACCACAGGTCATCAATCAACGTCAGATCCTTCATCACCGGATTCTCAGCCCCGTAAAGTCCCTCCGTCGTCGCCAGCGTCATGACCCTCCTCGCCCACGCAAACAAATTCGGCACATCAAATCCGCTCTCATCGCTGACTCCTCCACCGATCCTGTCGAGCTCCGCGGAGACGTACTTCAGCGCGTTGGCGTTCATGCGGTGAAGATGGGCACCATTCAACGCAGGGCGGATGACACCAAAAAAGTCCGGTACAAGGTCCGTTTCCCGCAGCAGCTTGGCTACATCGTTGCTTAGTCCGAGGTCTTTCTGGGCGAACTCAGCGGCGAAGGGCTCGAATGAGAGGTCTTTGTTGCGGTAGGCAGACTGCACGAGGGTCGGGTCCCAGATGGCGTAGAGTTTGCCATTGAGAATCGGCAGGGTTGAACCATTTACTGATGAGAAGTACGATAACAGTCAATCCTGCAATGAGGCTGAGAAACGTTGGTGAGAATCCAAAGTTCCCCGGCAAGGCAGAAGTTGAGGCGTTCCCAACTGTTGACATATTCTCGGCCATGACGATATCTCGTTGCTCTCGCAAACAATCAGAACTAAACAGTATCAAAGCAAAAGGGCAGACTTTTGATCTTGAACGCGGGATCTCTGCTTTTAAGAAACTCTCTTCCCAATTGGCTACGGCGCCGGGAGCCATGCGGACGCCTAACCGATAGACTTTCCGGTGGGATAATTGCTGCGACCAAGAGCATGACGGGCCGAATGAGACGTCTGCCATTTCACACCTTTTGCCAAGCGGTTGACACGCCCGTGGGCCATCTCGAATACGAACGGTGAAGGTAGCTATCGACATTATATTGATCGACTCCCACCTCAGCCGGCTGAGGTATCCCTGCTACCGCTCCTAACTGTGCTCAGAATTTGCACCAATCAATGAAAGTGTGCATGAGGGCGGGCGATCAGATGTTGTAGTGAAGACGTCTCTTGCCGACGTGTCGAAATCGACGTGATGTTCGCGATGGACTGACATTCGCTTCATGTTACTTGTCACTGGTGGCGTGGCATGTCAAACTGCTCGTCTGAGATCGAAGACGTCGTATGAACCTAACTCAATTGAAAACCTTTCTGATGGTGCACTAAGCACGATAAAAACAGTGCATATGAATACATGATCTACAGCCAAACCCCCCAACGCTCCCTTGCACCCATCCAAGCTAGCCAGCCGCTTGAGCTGTCTTCCTGGAGCTCGAATTTTGTACATTTTCCCTTTATTTCTGTGTAAGCCGACCAAGACGGATTCTCATTTATCGACCATAACGGTCAGGCTGTCTATCATAGCCCATTTGCCGCTGCTGCATCATCTGCTGTTGTTGCAGCTCCCGAGGGTCCCTCTGATCTCTAGGATCGCGCATTTGCATCTCTCTTGGATCGGCGCCATATGGCCCAGGAGGCGGACCACGAGCATCGTAACCGACAGGCGTGTAGCTGCGTTGCGGCATTTGGTCCCTCGGTCCCGGTGTCGCGTATCGCGGTGGATAAGCTTGCGGCGCCTGGGGTGGCATCGGCTCAGGTGCCCTAGTGACTGGCGGGTAACGACCTTGCATGGCGTGCGGATGTTGGGGAGGAGGCTGGCCGTACATGGGAGCGCCTCTGTCGTCCCGCATAGACATATGGTGATGCGGCGGAGGTTGCTGCTGCTGAGGCGGGGCGGATGCCCAGGATTGCTGCGGCATACCACCCGCGGGTATCTTTTGAGCAGATGTGTGTGGAGATGCCCAAGTAGACTGAGGCGGCGGCGCTGGTTGAGCCTTGGGTGTTGCGTGAGAAGGCGGCCAGGCCGATGTTGGTTGCTGTGGCGGCTGCGGTTGACCCATGGCGTGGCCCTGAGGTCCAGTTGGCCACGCGTTTTCGCGAGCTTGCGGGGGCGGCGGCTCCCGTCTAGATGCCGACTGATGAACGGCGTATTGCTGGGGTGGGGAGCCAGCAGCTCCGTACGCAGGGTAGCCGGTCTGTGGTTGGTAGTGATCTCGGGGAGGTGGCTGCGCCTGAGGCGGATAAGGCTGTGCGACTTGAGGTGAGTTGGTCGCGGGTGTTTGATGCTGCGGGTATTGATGACGGTAATAGTCGCGCTCGACTGCGTTTGCTGCGTCGTGAGGAGAAACCATAGTAGATCTCGGCGCACTCATGTGCTGAGCCTGTGGTGAAGCAGTATATGTTGGCTTCAGCGGAGGCATGGCTGACGCAGATGGGGCAGCATTCCGGGCGTAAGGATATGCTTGAGGGGGCTCTCGCTCCGGACGCAATGGTGTTGGAGTTGGCGCTGGCGCAGGGCCTCTAGACATGCTTTGAGGAGGAGGCGTGGGCGACGGTTTGACTTGAGCCATATCGTTAACACGCTTAGGTTGAGGCGTCGGTGCAGGTGCAGCTGCAGCCGCGGGAGGATCGTCATTGAGCAATGCCATGAGGTTGGATGTCTTGCGTGGCTCCGAAGCTGGCGGACGAGGTGCGGCAGCAGGCGGCGGAGTGCCATAAGAGTCCATATGCGGGGGCATGGGTCTCTGGGCACTGGCGATCGGGCGTTGCGCAGGGGGCGTCGATACCGATGGCTGAGGGTCGCCGAGTAAGCCACGACCGCCTGGCTGCGGCACTGGCTGACCGTAAGCTTGGGGCACCGGTGTCGGTGCTCCGCGAGGCGGCTCCGCCTGCCTCGCCGGGACCGGCGGTTCCGATCGGGGAGGTGGAACGCTCCGGACCGGCTGTTGACCAAATCCGAAAGGCTCGTAACGGTGGTGAGGGGGTGTCATCTCGGGCTCCTGTTTCATGCGTGTGCGCTCGGGTCGCAAATGCTCCTTGGCCTGTTGAGCTTGTTGAGCTTGTTGTGCCTGTTGAGCCTCCAATTTCTGCCTCTCCATTTGTTGTCTCTCCATCTGTTGCCTCTCCAAGGCCTGTTGTCTCTCAATTTGCAGCCGCTCGGCTTGCTGCCTCTCCATCTCTTGTCGCTCAAGCTGCTGTCTTTCCATAGCTTGCCGCTCGAGTTGTTGTTGCTGTTGACGCTCCATTTGTTGACGTTCCATTTGCTGCCTCTCAAGTTGTTGTTGCCTCTCAATCTGCTGCTGCTCAATTCTTTGTCGCTCCAGCTGTTGCTGCCTCTCCATTTGTTGCTGTTGCTCAATTCTTTGGCGTTCCACTTGCTGCCTCTCCAGCTGCTGCCTTTCGACCTGTTGACGGTCAATCTGGGGTTCAGGCTGTGCGGGTTGAATAGGCTGAGCGGCAGCCAGAGGACGCTGCTGGATAGGCTCGGTGACTGGAGTTGCAGACGGCTTTTGGGAGATCCTGACTGGTTGAGGTGGCTGTGTTGACTCGCGCTCCCTCTCAGGAAAGCCGAAGGGCTGCTGCTGCGGTGCTTTTACGGGGCGAGTACTAGGCGATCCTGATTGTGTAACTATTGGCTGAACAACGGGATGGGGCGGCTGGATAGCCATTGGTGCCTGAGCAGCAGGCTGAGCGGGTGGCAAGGGAACAGCTTGAGGAGGCGCCACTGCTTGTGCAGGTGGCTGTTGCTGCTGCTGCTGTTGTTGCTGCTGCTGTTGCTGTTGTGCAGGAGGCGCGGGAGTGATTGGCATAGTGAAACGACCAAAAGGCGGGTTGCCTGGCGGCTGAGCAACTGGTTCAACCTTGGGCGTGACGACTTCGGCGGGCGGCTCAGTGACCGGTGCTGTAGACACTGCAGGAGTTGTAGGAGCTGAGGCTGGGACGGGTGCGGCTGGAGGCGTGGGTGCTGCGGTTGGAGCAGAAGCAATAGCCCGGTGAGACCCGCCTGGAGTGGAATCGTACTTCTTGCGCCCTCCAACAGTTGGCAGAGGAGGATCGGGTAGCTTCTCTCCCCTCTGTTTCTTCGCATCGGCATCAGAAGCAAATTGTTCCCAATCACTCTTGCCCTGGTCCCTCTGTCGAACGAAGTAGTTCTTGACCATGACAGCTGTCTTGGAGCCCATATGTGTGGCAATGGCTGGCCAGTCCGTGCCGAAAGATTTCAATAGGCCCGGGAAGTCGTTTGCCTCCGAAACACTCCAGTAGCTAGAAGCAGTGCTTGGGGGACGGCGCTCGGGCTGCGGCTGAGCAATGTCGAAGGTTGCCAGCGTCGGTTGAGCAGGCAGTTGAGGCGGCTCTGGACGCAGCGACGGGGGCGCCATCACGTCCGAAATCACGGGGGTCGTAGAGACAGGACGCTCCTGAACAACCAGAGGTGGCTGCTGAGCAGCTGCAAAAGGCGGTTGCACACCGGGCGTTGGCGCCTCGAACTGCGATGGCAGTCGGTTCTCCATCGGCACAGGAGGCGGCGGCTGGAACTCCACATTCTGAACGCGTGAGTTCGAGCGAGACCGCCCCTTGCCTGAGGCTGGAGTTGGCGCGGCTGCGAGGGTTTGTTGAGGTTTGGCGGCTTTGGGCTCCTTGTCCTTTGCTGCTCTTCTTCCCCTCTTCCTGCCATCGGGCTTGTCAGGATCTGCCTTTGCGCCGCGACGACCTGGTGTGCCAGCAGGCGTGGTGTTCTCGGATTCTGTGGGTGGCTGCTCGAATCCCCATGTCGGAGCAGCGGCGCGACGGGGCCGTCTTCTCTCTCCGTTCTCGCCGTTTTCCTGGGTCTCCTCGCCTTCGTTCTCCGCGTTCCCAAGCTCGGATACGAGTGCACTGGACCTAGTCTTGCCTCTACCCTTCTTTCTACGTTTGGGTTGCTTCTTGAGTTTGTCCTTGAGGTTCAGCTCCTTCTTCATCAGGTAGTAGTACTGAATGCATGTGCCAAAGTTGCGCTTCGGTACGTTCTCAGCAACCACACCCCACTGCTTGGGATTCGTGAGATATCTCTTCTCGAACTGCTCCGCTTCTTCTGGCGTGAAGTTGTTGATAGGCTGCAGGATTTGCCAGGCCGGCACCAGCTTTTCTACAGGGGTGAAACCGGTCGTATCCTTGAAGTATTCGGCGTCCCTCTCCTCTTGCGTCCAGTACATCTCAGGGATGACTGCCTCTTTTTCGCTGCGGTACTTCTCCTGCATGGCGCGCTGCTCTCTCTCCTTACGTTCTTCGTCTTCGCGCATGGAGGCTTGCAGAACTCTTTCAAGGTCACGCTCGCTCGCATACCTTCTGCCAGCTCCCCTGCCTTCTGGTTTGAGTTCTGGTGGAGGAGGGATGGGAATGTGCTTCTCGGGCATCGGCAAGCAGCTGATGAAGGTCTCTCGGCTCTTGACTGCAATCGGGTCGCTAGACACTGTGAAGTCGAGGTAATTGACATAATTCTCCGCGTAGTCCTTCTTTGCCACTGCTTGAGCTTTGCTCTTCTCGAGAGAGAAATTTCCAAGATGTTCCAAAATGAAGCTATCAATCAACGGGTCGGAATCCAGAGTTCGCAGGAAGTCTCTGTCCTGGTGCCAAGGACGACATCCGAAGTCGGGTAGGCTGTCAATCGGAGGTGTCGCGGAAAATTGGCGGATCTTGTCGATAAGCATTGCATCGGTGTCTTCCGATTCGGTAGAGTTGTCATCGTCGTCTTCTATTTGCGAGGGTGTGCTTGGAAGCGCCTTGTCGCCTTCAATGGTCTCGATCGGCTCGCTAGGAGGCTGAAGCAAAGGATGCCCGTTGGTAATCGGCTCCTTAGACCGCCGTTCCATCACTTGCTCCGCAGATGGCTTTTCCGGGGCAACGTCTTCCATTGGGACATCCACGTCCTTATCCTTGACTGGCTCGGGAGCTGGAGGAGAAGGCGCATCGTGAAGAGTGACCGGCTCGTCGACATCCATCTCTTCGGTCTTAGGTTGCGGTTCAACAATGCTGGTCTCGACTGCGGGTTCTTCAGTCATCTCGGTATCGCCCTTGGCAGCTTCTTCGACAGGCTTTTCGGTTGGCTTTTCAGTTGGCTTCTCAGTTTCCGTGGGCTTCTCGATTTCCTTATCGACAGGTTCCTCCGCGGCCTTCTCAACAGCCTTCTCAACAGCCTTCTCAACGGCCTCCTCGACTGGCTTCTCGATGGTTTCATCGACTGGCTTCTCAGATGGGATCTCGACCGGCTTCTCGACCGGCGTTTCCGCGGGTTCCTCGGTCGGTTTGTCGGCACCCTTTTCAGCCACGTTTTCCTCATCATCCTTCTTGATGTCCTTCACAGCCTCAGCATTCATCTCAGGTACCATCAAAGGCTCAGGCGCTGCTGGGAGTTGTGGCGCCGCCGGGGGTTCTGCTGCAACTTCCTTTACGATGTCCTTTGGCGTTGGCTTAATCTGCATAACAGGACTCGGGATCTTGGGTGTCTTCTCGCGCAGTTCCGCGACCGGTGATTTGACAGGTGTCGGCTCTTTAGGTGGCTCAATCACCTCTGGGATTTGGCCAATAATGTCGGTGAAACCATCCGATTCCGTGAAAATAGACGCGATCGCGTCGTTCGAGACTGCTGCGTACCGGGCAATTATGAGATCCGGCGTCTTGTCGGCGGCCTGCTGAAGTTTCTGCAGTTCGGCCTCCTCTTTAGCGATCTCATTGCGGAAGTATTCTCCATAGTCCTCATCGTCGTCGGATTCGGAAGTTTGCTCAGAGACGGGTGCCGACGGCTCTTGTGGGGGCAAAACAAATCGCGCCCTGTGAGCAGACATTCGGCATTGCTTAGCGGGCTTGGACGGCTGCTCGTTCTTTTCCTCTGATCTGTCCTCGAAGGGGGGTCTGTGAGAGAGCCTGAGCTTCTCGTCGTCCCTCGAAGATGGTCGGTAGTCGTCATGTCCGTGCGCGTCAGTTCCCGACATGACGGTGTCCCTTGAAACGTCTGGATGGTCAACGTCCCGATCCATTGAGGCTCTGGCCGAGTAACTGTCTCTTTCACTCTTGATGATGATCTCGCCGGGCTCGGGAAGATTGAGCGACTTGACAGATCCCTCCGTGGTCGAAGCATGAGAGTCGGCCTTCGCATCACTACTACGAGGACGTCTGTCGTAATCGCCGTGATCGGCCGGAACACTGTCATGTCTGAAGGGTACTGGTCGGTTTTGTTGGGCGAAGCTCTGTGACCTCATTATCTTGGGCGACTCGGGAATCTTCTTACCCGCTAAAGCAGGGTTGATCCATTGTTTGCTCGACGGCCGTTGCTGCTTTTGTTGCTGAGCTCGAGGACCCGAGGGAATCGGTGGGCTACCTTCTGGCAGACCCAATTTGGCCGGTCCGGTGGGTGGAGCTGGAAATTCGCTGCCGCCAGAGTGTCCGGCGGACACAGGCCGTTCGGAGTTGAATGCTCTTGGCGCCGTCGGTGGAAGCTTGCCAGTGCCACCAATAATGGGCGATCCGTCGGCTGCGCCTGCGTTTCTACTGGGCACCGTTCCGAACGCTGGTGCTGATGGGGCCAGAGGCGGGGGAGAAATGTCCTTTGTGTTTGGCGACGGTGCCTGCGAGGATGCACCGCGCTCACGGTCTCGTTCAATGCCCTTAGGTCGTAGCAATTCTCGTTCGCGGGGATCACGAAGATCGCGGTCGTCGCGGGGATCTCTACGGGCGTCGGAGTCCATCCATCTATCGCCACGATCACGGTCGTCTCGATCGCGGCCCCAGCGCCCTTCCTGAGAGCGACTACGGGGGCCGAATCGGTCGCGGTCGCGGTCATCATAAAAGCCTCCTCGCCCCCTGCCTCGGTCGCCCCAGCCCCCGCGTCCTCTGTCTCTGCCTCCTCTAAAACCGCCACGGGACATGAACGGAGGATCGGAATTGGAGGAACCGGCCGAGGGTGGTCCGCCGTCTCTCGAGCCTCGTCTAGATCTCTCGGCGTCGACGCCTAGCGGAGGATCTCTGTCTCGAAAATCTCGCTGCGGCGGTGATCGGCCTCTGCCTGGTGAACGCGGCCTTCCTCGGTAGCCTTCCCTATCTCTCCAGTCTCTGTCGCGTTCTCGCTCGCGACTTCTCTCATCTCTGTAAGGTCCATCGCGTCTATCTCTGAAGTCAATATCGCGGTCTCTTCCGCGATCTCTGCTCTCGTCGCGAGACCATCCGCGGCCACGGCCTCTGCCCCGTCCTCTGCTGAACTCGCCAGCGTAGCCGCCACCTCTAGGGCCGCTTGGAGGGTCTAAAAGTGCTTTGGGGCCGCGCGGGGGCTCACGGGATAGGTTGTCGCGGAATGAATCTCTGTTATTTTGGAATGCAGAAGTGTTGGAGCGCGCTTCGGCCGATGAACGACGGCGGTCGCCATCGCTGTACTGCGAAGCGCGTTCGTAGCGATCGGGCGAGCGGTCGCGAGGCGACCTAGAGCGACGATCTCCGTCATACCTCGAGGAGTATCTCGAAGCCCTGTAGAGATCGTGATTAGCATGAAAGGGCCGGTCGAGGTTACGCCTCACACCCGCATGACGGCCCGGGCGGTCATATGGCGGTCGCATCTGAGTGTCTCTTTCTGACAACGCCTGCTCTCGCGAGGGAGTGGCATTCGGTCTGGCTATCGCCGAAGAAGGGAAAAAGCTTGATGCAGAGATACGGATGACTTGAGGTTGTTGTTTCGACTCGACTCACATGGCGCTAGGCTGGGCTATCGCCCTTAAAGTTGGCTATGGAAAAGGTCCAATACCATATGTGTAAGGATTGGGACGTGGAACCAGAGGACCTTGGAACCTTGTGTGTCGTGGGTCGTTGGAAGACTTTGAGAGTGGTCGGGTTCCAACCTCGGATAAGCGTCTGTCGGTCGGTGTTCGCTGTTCAGGAGGTTAGGTAGCGGGAGAGCGGACACGGCGGGGAGTGGGTGCATCCGACAGCGGGTCGCGCAGTTGTGTGAGTGGATGATGGCGATTATGGATGGACGAGGATCAGAATAAGCATGAGCGTCGTCGGGTAATGCTGTAGAAAATGGAAAGGCGACTCGATTGTCGTTGCTGGTCGAGGTGCGGGCAGCGAGAGATGCGACACACTCTGGGGAGCAATCGTGTGATGTTGAAGGATTGAAGACGGTACCCCGGCCACGTTCAGCCTGCAAAATACGGTTCGCGTGCAGTGGCGCTTATTTGGCACTGGACTGCCCGGACTGGACTGGATCTCAAATCCGCCAGGCGCTGCCCGGGGGCTCCAGCGTGTTGGGGGGCCGCGAGGCGGCAGGCCAGCTTCATTTTTACCGCCGCATACGCTAATCCCGAAGAAGATGCTAGCGGGACCCCCGGCAGTTCACAGTGAGGCCCTGCCACAGCTGCCATGCCCTGCCAATTTCCAGCCTCCACTGCTGCCCGTCTTCCTTGTGTTCTCCGTGTTTTCTGTTCCATCTCTTGGCTCCGTTGGGTTGGGTGGCTCCATGCTTACGTACACAGGCGTAACTAGTCGAGGTTCAGAGTACGGATACAGACGCCAACAAACAAATAAAAAAGAGGAGTCCACCTGGGTAACTGCCCTGTGCTAGAGCGACTGCGGTTCTGCATGCTCGCCATCGTCGTCGATGTCGTCATTGTCATCATCGTCGTCGTGACTTGCAGCTACTCTCGTCTACTTCGTCTTCTTTGATCCCTTCTACCGTCATTAGGTATCGTCATCTCTAGTCCCAAGAAAATACAGGAAAATCAGACCGTCTTAAAACGAGATACATACCTATATTACAGTAACCACCCTAGTAAACGCATCTAATTCAGGCACAAAATTCATATATATTTTAAAGTACTTATACGATACATAGCCCCCTAATACTTATTTTTACCCCTATACTAACTATATTAAAAATATTAATTTAAATTAAGTTAATACCTCTAATTAAGATTAAACTATATAAAAAACTTAGTAATCATTACTTACTAACTCTCCTATTATTTATCTACGATTTAGCGCTTTATTACTTATAGTACTACTATATTACTAAAGATAATATAATCCCTCTATTCTATAAATATAAGAAGTTACTTAATATTTTTAGTAGTTTTAGAGAAAATAAATTTAGGTATAAAACTTTAGATTTTAATAATCTCTTCTTTATTTAACGTTTTATAAGATTTATTATTAAATAATACTAATAAATTATTATAGTTATCTAGTATATAAACTATAATTTTATTAGAAATATATAGCTTTCTAGAAGTTATATTCTGATTAATTAAGCTTAGAAACTCTTTAAGCAACTCCTCTAATTTTAAGAGTAATACTATATACTAAAAAAAAGCTTATTAGATTATTAATTTAGTTTAAAGAAATGTTATAAGCATATACAATAAGGTTATAAAGTATAGAGTAATTTTGATATTTTATAATAGTTAAGCTTTTAACAGATCTAAAAAAAGCTTTTACTACTTACTATAACATAAACTATAGATTTATAATTTTAATAAAATTAATATTAAATATTATAGCAAAATACTTTATAAGCTAAATAAAATAAATATATCTATAGTAGCTTTTAAAAGTATTAATAATATTTTAATTTACTAGTTAGAACTTTAAAGTTATATTTAGAGATAGGAATTTAATATATATTTCTATTAGTAGTAAGTTAAATTTAATAATAGCTATATAAATAGAGAAGTTATCTATAAAGAGGAAGACTTTCTAGTTTACCTTTTTTAATTTAAATATAATAATAAAATACTTCTAGCTAGTTTATTATAATAACTATAATAAATTAAATATTTTTATTATTCCTCTGGATAATATTAAATATATTAAAATTAAACCTTTAAAAGGTATATAAGGTTTTATTTCTACTAATAGTAAAGATCTTAGAAAGGTTATTCTTTGTTATATTAATAGTGAGGTTTAGGGAAATCTAAGATTTATTTCTCTTAATACTAAGTTAAAAAATAGAGGTTTAACTAGAAGTAAATAGTTAACGCTGATATAAATCTACTTTATCTATATAATATAAATTATATAAATTATATTTATTAATAGACTTTTATATCTTTTTAATCTTATAAATTAATATTATACTAATATTAATAAAGCTAACCTTATTATAAAATAGCTAGTATTTAATATAATACTATTCTTTTAATAATTATATTAAAATATAGCTAAAAGTAAGACGATTAGAGTTATTAGATTTAAAGTTCTTTATATAAGGTATTATATATTAGATATATTATATTTATTTTTAAATTAGTTAAATAGTTATTCTAAATCTCTTAATTTTAAGTTTAATTTATTATTAGTAGAGGAGATATTTAAGAGTTAGCTATTATATTATTACTATATATTACACTTTAATACTAAGAAGCTAATTAGTAGCTAGCTTTTTTTTATTTCTTTAAGAAGTAATAAAACATTAGTTTAAGTGATTTTAATACTATATATATTAAGTATATACTATATTATTACTTTTTATAAAAAATAAACTACTTAGCTAGTTATTTACTTATAAAAAGCTATTTTTATTAAACGTTTAATTTAGCTATTAGTAGAATATTAGTATATATAAATATATATAATACAAATAGTATAAATAGTAGAAAGTAGTATTAAAAATAGGTTAGCTAGTAGAAAGTAAAATTAACCCTTTTTATATAAAAAAATCAGCTTTAATTACCCCTATTAGACCTTTTATTATACTCTAATAGGCCTCTATTTTTTACTAAAAAACCCCTACTATAAGCATGAGCCTTTCAAAAGATAATTTAAGGAGGCGTATATAATATATAGATATATAAAAAATAATGTTCAGACTATATAAAATAAGGTGGGTATCTTATAGGTATGCATTTTGACCTGCTTATGCGTTATGGGGGTGATGCATTTTGTAGGGAGGTTACTGTACCTAAGAATTCGCGAACCCAAGCGACAGGGCGACAAGGATTGGCCCTGGCACGCCTCAGACCCTGCGGCCCTTTCTCGTCCTCGACTCCACCTTTCCGTCAAAATTCTTTGCAGAGTGGAGCCCGGCCGACCTGTGCTCTGGACATCGCGGCGTGGAGTCACAGTCGTTCCATGCCCGTCTGACTCTGTCCGCCCGCGCATTCATTGGACGGAGCCATGTGGTTTGTGTCTGCGAGGTAGCTTGTGGATGGACTTTTTCCACAAGGTGGCTTCCCTTCATCTACTTTCACCACATCCTGATTTAAATTTCGGGTTGGTTCAAGACTGAGACAGGGCTTTGTGTCTGGTTTTTCGCTGTGCAATTCTCCGCCGATTTCTCGTGTCCACAATTTCAAGATCGCCACTCGCTGGTATGTACCTGTTCCGCCAGCCTGAGACATCAATTTCACCTTGAAAACAATGCATCTCGCTCATCTTCAACCCGATTCACTGCTTTCGGGTCTTGAACTGACGTGTGTCTAGTTCTGCTCAAAACAGGCAACATGGCGTCTCAAGAGAACCCCAACGCCCCGCCCGCGGCAGCAACCGATGCGGTGCTCGTTGTGTCCGAGGAGATGCCCGAGGGCACTCAGAAGGTGGAGGAGCTGGACTTTGACGACCTTGACGGGCCCATCACCGCCGAGAACCTTTTCAACGGCATGAAGTACATGGGCTTCCAGGCCTCGTCTCTTGGCGAGTCCATCCGGATCATCAACGACATGGTAGGCTGTCACGCCGTCTTGTTGTGATGCGACCCAGCTGACATGGGTGAAAAGAGGGCATGGCGAGACCCCGAGACAGGGGATAAGACCACCATCTTTCTCGGCTACACGTCGAATATGATTTCTTCCGGCATGAGAGGAGTTTTCCGATGGCTTGTAAAGCACAAGCATGTCTCTGCCATTGTGACAACGGCCGGTGGCGTCGAAGAGGACTTCATTAAGTGCCTCGGCGACACCTACATGTCCTCCTTTAGTGCACCCGGCGCCGACTTGCGCAAGAAGGGGCAGAACAGAATTGGCAACCTCGTCGTGCCAAACTCAAATTACCGCGCCTTCGAGGACTGGGTTGTGCCCATCTTTGACGCAATGTTGGAAGAGCAGGAGGCCAGCAAGGGTACCGACGGTGAGATTAACTGGACACCATCTAAGATGATCCACCGTCTGGGCAAGGAAATCAACGACGAGCGCTCCGTCTACTACTGGGCATGGAAGAATGACATCCCCGTCTTCTGCCCGGCACTTACCGACGGAAGCTTGGGAGACATGCTCTACTTCCACACGTTCAAGGCTTCGCCGAGGCAGCTTAAGTGCGACATCGTCGAGGACATCCGTCGTATCAACACCATCTCGGTGCGTGCGAAGCGCGCTGGTATGATCATCCTCGGTGGCGGTGTCATCAAGCACCACATCGCAAACGCATGTTTAATGCGCAACGGCGCCGAGTCGGCCGTGTACATCAACACGGGCCAGGAGTTTGACGGAAGCGATGCCGGAGCCAGGCCGGACGAGGCCGTTTCTTGGGGAAAGATTAAGGTTAATGCAGATGCTGTCAAGGTATGTCGTATTGCAGAACTTTCGGAGACAAAGACAATGTTGACATTAAGGTATAGGTCTATGCAGATGCC